ACAATTATGATGATGATAAATAATAGTAATGATAATAATGATAATTATGATAATGATAATTATGATAATAACATTAATAATGGTAATGATAATAAAAAGATAAAAACAACAATAATAAAAAGGATACTAATTATGATAATTAATGATAATGATATTCATAATGATAATAATAGTAGTAATGATAATAGTAATGATAATAATAGTAATAATAATAATAGTAATGATAATAATAATAATAATAATAATGATAATAATAATATTAATAACAATAATAATAATAATAATAATAATAATAATAATAATAATAATGATTATTATTATTATTGTTATTATCATTATCATTATCATTATTATTATAATGAAAATGATAATAGTAACGATGATGATGATGATGTTGACAATAATGATAGTAATAATGATAATAAAGTGTTGATAATAACGAAAATGATAATGATTATAATAATTGACAAAAAAATAAAACAATAATGATTATGATAATGATACTGATAATAATAATTATAAGAATGCTAATAACTCTAATATTCCTCCTCCTGCTAATACTACTATTAATAGTAAAAACAGCAATGATAATGATAATAATAATAATGATAATGATAATAATAATGATAATAATCATGATAATAATAATAATAACAAAAATAATAATGATAATAATAATGATAATAATAATAATAATAATAATAATAACAATAATAATATTAATATTAATATTAATAATAATGATAACAATAACAATAATAATAATAATAATAATAATAATAATAATAATGATAATAATAGTAATGATAATAACAATAATAATGATAATAACAATAATGATGATTGTAATAGTGAAAGTAATGATAATAATAATAATAATAATAATAACAATACTACTACTACTAATAATAATAATGATAATAATAACAATAACACTAATAATAATAATGACAACAACAACAACAACAACAATAATAATAATAATAATAATAATAATAATAATAATAATAATAATAATAATAATAATAATAATAATAATAATAATGGTAATAATAATTATAATAATAATAATAATAATAATAATAATGATAATAATAATAATATTAATGATAATAATAAAAATGATAATAATAAAAATGATAATAATGATAATAATAATGATGATGATGATGATGATGATAATAATAATAATAATAATAATAATAATAATAATAATAATAATAATAATAATAACAATGATAGTACTACTACTACTAATAATAATGATAAAAAACAATAATGACAATAATGGCAATAATCAGGGGCCAGATTATGACCTTTTGGGGCCCCTTGGCTAATGAAATTATGGGGCCCCCTCAGAATATTTTTTACTCGTGATATATTTTAGTGACATTTACATAGCTTGAAGTAAACTTATTGCAAATTCTTTAAATAAACTAGCATAGCTATCTTTTATTTGTCAATAAAAACATTCTTTAAATACCACTATTTTACTATATTTCAACACAACTGCAATGAAAAAAACAAATTTTTTATAGCCAAGCCCCTTAAGCTTGGGGTCCTGGCAATAATAAAAATAATGATAATGATAATAATGATGATGATAATAATAATAATAATAATAATAATAATAATAATAATAATGATAATAATAATAATAGTAATAATGATAATAATAATGATAATAATCATAGTAACAATAATGATAATGATCACTGTAATAATGATAATGATAATGATAATGATAATAATCACAGCAATAATAATGATAATGATAATAATCACAGCAATAATAATGATAATAATCATAGTAATAATAATGATCACTGTAATAATGATAAAAATCACTGTAATAATGGTAGTAATCACTGTAATAATGATAATAATAATGATAATGATAACAATGATAGTGATAAAACAATAGTAATAGAAATAAGAATTAACATTAATAATAAAAATAATAAAAGTGATAATGATAATGATAATGATAATAATAGTAATAATAAAAAGTAATTGTACTGACAATGATAGTAATAATGATAACATTGATAGTAATAACGATAATGATGAATAATAATAGTAATAATGATAATAATAATAATCATAATAATGATAATAATAGTAATGATAATATTAATAATAATAATAATAATGATAAGAATAATAAGAATAAAAACAATAATTATGATACTACTACTAATAATGATAATAAAAAAAATGATAATGATAATGATAATAATAATAATAATGATAATACTGATAACAATGATAATTATAATAATAATAATAATAATGATGATAATAATAATAATAATGATAATAATAATAATAATAATAATGATAGTGATGATAATAATAATAATAATAATAATAATAATAATAATAATGATATTAATAATAATAATAACAATAATAATCATTATGATAATACTAATAATGATAATTATGATAATATTAATGATAGCTATTTTTTTAATGATGGTATATATGGTATTATCAATAAAAGCAAAAATAATGATAATGATAATAATGATAATAATAATGATAATAATAATAATAATAATAATAATAATAATAATAATGATAATAGTAATAATGATAATAATAATGATAATAATAATATTAATAATA